AGGTTAGCCACTAATATACTGCTGCACGGGCTGGGCTGTAGTTACATCGTAAGGTTTTAAAAACTGAGCTTTAAAACTAATAGTGGTAATAAAAACCAAGAGAGAGGCCGACAGTGATCACTGAATTTTTTTCAGGGGCTTGTTCAGATTAAATGGAACAAGATACAAAGCACTAAAACATGTTAAAAACGAAACAGCCTTAATAAACACAGAGTAGTAGCAGAGAAGCAGGGTTCATACGGCATCACTCAAGACTGGATATCCCACCGGCTGTGAATGTTTTAATGCAGTATAGTTGTTATTATTATCACTTGTCACATCTTGTTTATGACAAATAACATTCATACAAGACAGGCCTTCAGTCATAAGGATGTACTTCAACAGCCATATATTTTATGAGGTGGTACTCAATGTGAAAAGTTTGAGAACCACTGTGCTATCTGATTAGCTGAATACATATTTCCATTAACAAGCAGCTGAAGAGGTGTGCCTAATGAAATGACAAGTGAATGTGTTCCAACCATTTTTGTGCATAGGTACAAAACGTGACTGCATCACCCAGCTTGAGTCCAAGAGTAGAAGACTCCCAGTATATGCAAATAAACACAAAATACAAAATGATAATTAAAGTTAGATTTTAGACATGAAAACATGTCTCACTTATGGTGCAGGGCTTCAAAATTGCAGCGTCTTTCTGTGGAGTCTCAGACTCTTATTCCCTTATTATTACTTCTCTGCAGTGAAAAGTGGTCTTCACACTAATTCTTCATTGCAGTCCCCATTCAGTTTCTGTAATTGAAAAAAGATAGGAAACCCATTATTGTGCCTGTGAAGAGCGGCTTTTTGGGAAGTTTTGCAAGAGTGCATCAACCACTCTCACTCTGTCTCCTATGCAATTACCTCTGTGAGCATCCTGTGACTCCTGAGACTGCTGCTGGCAGACCCAATTAAACCAGTTAACAATCATTCTAATTAGCAAAGTTGCTCTGCAGAGAAAATGGAGCTGCGTTAGTTGAAGGTGTGCTGCCGCTGCACTCAGATCCACATTCATTACGGACAAACAAAAGATGCTGCGTTTCAAAGGCGCAGTGGTTAATATGGAGGCTGTTTACTCCTGCCAAGTGAAATCTGTTTTAAAGAACGAATTACAGGAATCAGCCTCCAACCAGAAGGGCTGTTGTTTACGGTTAAAAAAGCCTAGTGTGATGTGATGCCACCAAGTCCATTACAAATTGCCTAAAATTTGTTGGTTGAAGACACAGGGGTAGATTAACTGGGATTTTATACACTGACAATACTAAAAAAGGAAGGACAGGAATTGTATTTCTTTTTTAATCTGAAATATTGAATTGAAAAGTTGATACGTATTGTCAAAGCAATCTGCAGCTGCTTTTCCTCTGGAACCATGCACACATAGGCAGGTAAACAACCACGTTGGAGCCAGAAAAACAAAGGAGAAGAAAGGTGAATAGCATATGTTGCCAAATCATATGCTATAAGATCTGGATCCTAAAATAAAACTTTCCACTTATGACAAGACAAGGACTTAAAAATCAAAACTATATAACTAGTTAACATATGTAACAAATTTTTTGAAAATTATATCACAGATTTAAGTATTGAAAATGTGTTGCACTTCCATGGCGCAACCTACATTAAATTTTAAGGATTAAAGATGGAGGATATCATTATGTTAAACACAAACGGGGCAACAGGAAGTGGAATATTGGAGCTGAATAACACAAAGTAAGAATTTAATGGCAATAC